GTGGGAGGGGGCACGGGGGAGTTGAGGATTTGGGGATATTTGGGAGGGGGGTCTGGAGCCCTGGGGGGAGCGAGGCCATGCCGTGACGGGAGGAGGGGCTGCCATCGCTGGGGGACACTGAGGCCGGGCTGATCTGCCGGGGGGCGCGGGGCGATGCCCGAGCCCCCGCCCTGGCTCCCGGCTCTCCTGACCCGGTTCTCTCCCCAGGGCCCTTCCCAGGCCAGCCCTTGTTCCCCGGGCCGGCCCCCCCCGGGTACCCCCAGGCCCTGCCCCTGCCGCAGCCGCCCCCCTACCTGGACCCCGCTCCTGCGTACCCCGAGGTAGGTGGGGCACACCTGGGGCATTTACCTGGGAGCCGTCCGTGGCCCAGGGGAGCCCGGAGCTCCCCTTGGACAGGGACCCAGTGACCCAAAGCGCCCCTTTAAAGGCCGGGGTGAATTCCGGGTGCCTCCCGCTCCCGCAGGCAGGTGAGGTCCCCGCGGGTGCTGGATGCGCACCTGGCTGGGGGATGGCACCTGCCTGACCCGGCCGACCCGGTGCTCTTCCAGCTCTACCGCCTCAGCTTCGTGCCCCTGGGCGCCGCTGGCGTCCCCCCCGTGTCCCCAGCGTACCCAGGGGTGTCCCTGTACCTGCCCCTGGCGCCGCCGCCGCCCGTGGGGGCTCTGGGCTCCCCCGTGGCCTATTTCCCCCTGGGACAGCTGTACCCACCGGGCTCCACCCTGCTGCTGGACGGCGGCTTCGACACCGCCGCCAGGCTGGGCACGGGCGGCACTGCCAGCATCCCGGTGAGTGCCGGGGATCTGTGTGTGCGGGATGGGTGGGGAGGTTTGGGACGGGTGGCACTGCGGATTTGGGATGGGGGAGGAGGTCTGGGATGGGTGGCACTGCGGATTTGGGATGGGTGAGGTTTGGGACGGGTGGCACTGTGGATTTGGGATGGGTGGGGAGGTTTGGGACGGGTGGCACTGTGGATTTGGGATGGGTGGGGAGGTTTGGGATGGGTGGCACTGCGGATTTGGGATGGGTGGGGAGGTTTGGGAAGGGTGGCACTGCAGATTTGGGATGGGTGAGGTTTGGGACGGGTGGCACTGCCAGCATCCAGCACAGGTGGAGCCACAGAACGGGGGGATTTGGGTGGGGGGACCAGGAGATCACCTGGCCCTGGCCCAGGTGAGTCCCAGCCCCATCCCACCTGGCCTAGGGCACTGCCAGGTGGGCTTTGGGGTCACCGCTGGTTCAGGGTCACGGCCGGGCTGGGCGTGGCTGCCGCTGCCCAAACCTGGCCTGGGGGCAGCGGGACAAGGGGGGCCTTGGCCACCTGACCTCACCTGTCCCCACACCTGGGCCTGGCACTGCTGCGAGCTCCTGCTCACCTGGGGCTGCTCACCTGTGCCTGCTCACCTGTCCCATCTCACCTGTGCCTGCTCACCTGTCCCCTTCTCACCTGTGCCTGCTCACCTGTCCCATCTCACCTGTGCCTGCTCACCTGTGCCTGCTCACCTGGCCCTGCTCACCTGGCCCTGCTCACCTGTCTCCTGCTCACCTGTCCCCTCACCTGGCCCTGCTTCCCCAGCCCCCCTTGGCTGCCCTTCCCTGCAGCCTGAGAGGTTCCTGCTGCCCTGGAATTCTCTTTGGTAGCTTGGGGACAGCGTGTGCCCCAGGTGACAGCACAGGGGACAGCACAGGTGACAGGTGTCCCTCAGGTGACAGCACAGGGACAGGTGTCCCCCAGGTGACAGCACAGGTGACAGCACAGGTGACAGGTGTCCCTCAGGTGACAGCACAGGGACAGGTGTCCCCCAGGTGACAGCACAGGTGACAGGTGTCCCTCAGGTGGCAGCACAGGGACAGGTGTCCCCCAGGTGACAGCACAGGTGACAGCACAGGTGACAGGT